CTGTCCTGTACAGAACATGATCAAGGGTGTTACGTTGGGCTTCTGTTACAAGATGAGGTCTGTGTACGCCCACTTCCTATCAATGTCGTTATTCAGGAGAATGATTCTCTTGTTGAAGTCCAAAATTTCTTGGGTGAAAAATAAACCCGGAGGATTCAGATAATGTCAGACATTGCTTGCTCAGTATCTCAAAACCAGAAGGATGAGTTAATTCTTGAAGGAGATGACATCAAACTTTTATCAAATTCAGACGCTTGGAAACAAGAAGCCGCAACAGTTAGAAAAAAGGATATCAGCCCTGGCAGGTACGGCTCAGTGGACTGAGCACCAGTCTGCATACCAAGAAGTCACTGGTTCGATTTCCATTTGGAGCATATGCCTTGTTTGCTGGTCAGGTCCACAGTTGGGGTGTGTGAGAGGCAACCAGTGGATGTTTCTCTTGTATGTAGATGTTTCTCTCACTCTCTTTCTCCCTACCTTCCCATCTCTCTGAAAATAAATAAGTAAAAAAAAAATTGTTTTCAAACCAAGGATATCAGACAAATTTTGGATTCTATGCTTCTGAAAAAGGAACAGTTGAGCAGGCTGATGAATAAGATCTAAGATGGCCAGCTCCAGAAGCAGCAAGATGTTGGAAGATTCCTCAGATTTATTTGTGATGTTTTAAAGATGCAATAAAAGCTATGTATTGATCTGGGGGAAAAATTATTTTTAATTATATAATTGAAACATACAGTATTCATTTCCTTGTTATCACTCCACCTTCTCTGAGTTTATCACATTCCCCATGTGCATCTTTCTAAACATTTCTTATGCATATATAGACATTTATGTACATAGAATGCATTAATTACCTATTGATGTATAACAAAATTACTTCAAATTTAGTTGCATAAAACAGTAACAAACATTTAATATTTTACTGCTTCTGAGTGCTAGGAACTTGGGAGTGCCTTAGTTGGGTGGTTCTGACTCAGTTTCTCATGAGGTTGGACTGAAGAAGCCTGCAGCCATCTGAAAGGCTTAGATCCGCCTCTGCCAGTCCATATGACTGGCAACCTGATGCTGGCTACTCCGCAGGGCTGCTTCCATGTTCTCAGAATGCGGGACTGGCTGCCCCAAAGCAAGCGGTATCGGTGTCGGAGAGAGAAAGAGAACCGGACATGCCTTTTAGCACCCAGCCTCAAGTCCCACAGAGTCACTTTCACAACCTCCTGTTAGTTACACAGGTTATGGGAAAATCATGAATAGCAGGAAACCAGCCACTGGGGACTATTTTGGAAACTGACCACCCTTTAGAGCATTTCATGGATTTGCTTTATGCTTCTTGTGAAAAATTTTACATTTGGAAAAAAAGGAAAAATTTTAAATTCTAATCAACTTAAGGTTAACTGATACATATAAAGTAAGCAGTATTAAAACAAATCCAATGTCAGTTTGTAGCAAATAATCTGTGTTGAGAAGTTTTAACCCTCATAGTATTGGAATAATTAAATTATTAAATATGAATATATAGTATAAGGGTTTAAAATTTGTGTAAACTAAAAGAATATATTATGCTTGGATGTGAGAATACTGCAGTAATAAGTTAACTTTCACATTCTTAAAATCTTCTCCAAAAAACACCCTACATTTATTACAATGCTATATATGCTCTAAGTTTTATTTTTTCCTTTAAAAAAAAATCTCAGTTCCCCACACTCTGATTTATGCAAGGCTTGGGCTTATACATTTGACCCAGAGTACTGGTCTTTAGATTATTTACAAATAGGTTTGCTTTTCAGTAGTGTCGTTTGGCCCACGCACTGCGTGAGATCCAAGTTGAGGAGGCTCTAGTGGGTTTTGAGATGTCAAAGTGTCCGGCGGGGGGCGATGGTTGGGGGGACGGGATAGTTGCAGAAGAGAAAAGCTAAACCCGGTGCAAGGTTCCTGCTGCAGCGGCCAGAAACGTCTAGGACAGGAGACGCGGCTTGCAGGCGCTCACACAGGGGTCACGAGGACTGTCGGGTCAGCGTCTCCCAACCCCGCCCCCACGCAGCGCCAGAGAGCTTCTGTTTACTGTCCTGACTTCACAGAGCAGAGATATTGATCACGAATGAGTACAAACTTTAGAGTACAACAGTGTGATCATCCGGAAGAAAACTCACGTCAAAAACACATGTGGTGTTTTCCGTGTCACAGGTACAAATGCCGCATGACCTCTGGTCTTGGCTCTTCCCCGTTGCTGACCTTTGCAATCATACACCCGGATCCACAGCCCATCTTAAGAGTTCAGGCACTGCAGACATTACTTAACCACATTGGAAAGGGGGTCTTGGAACAGAGAAAGTGGGGGCAAAGGGAGGCCAGAGGGAAGAAAATGACTCAGTCAACACATCTGAGTACCTACTAAGTGCAAAGCTTTGTATTTCCCACAGCATGCATCATTATCAGGTGTGCTTATAATTTGTATTTTTTTTTTTTGTTTTTTGTATAATGCTTGTATCCCACTCCAAGACACTAATATATAAGCTCTGAGGCAGGAATTTGTGTCTATTTTGTTGACTGCTGTGTCTCCAGCACCTAGAAGAGTGCCTGGCACATAGTACTCAAGCAATAAATATGTGTTTGATTAATGAAAGAAAGCACTGTGTTAGTGGGTAATAATAGAAAACAGTTACTGTGCATGCACACATGCTGGGCTCTCTGCAAGGCTTCCTCCCCCTTTAGGCAGGCACTAACATTATCCCATTTAACAGATGAGGAAGCTGCAGCTCAGAGGGGTCATGCATCTTGCCCAAATGGCGGCACTGGGGTTTAAACTCAAGAATTCTCTCCCTCAGGTCTTTAGTTGAGACTAAGCCTCCTATCTCATACTCTGAGAAACTTACAAAGACCAGTTAGACACAGTCTCTGTTCTCTTAGCATAGATATGTCTATTGAGAAAAGATTTGGAAATAAGTCAGAACCAATTAAGTCAGAATCAATGGTAAGAAGTTTGGCAGAGAAGCAGGTGATAAATGTTATGAGTTTGCAGGAATGAAAACAAGGCAGATAGAAAAAGATAAACACTGAGATATAAACTAACAGAATTAATGCTGAATGATGAGAGTGTTTATACTTCCCATTTACTACTTTATCTGTATTTTCTAATTTTTCCATATGAACAAGTATTGCTCTTGTAATAAGGAAAAATATATATTTATCTTATGAAATTTTCTTAAGGGAAACATTTAAAAATACATTTTCTAAGGCAGGTCTCAGGCAAGGCTTTTCCCTGTCATTCCCATTTGCCTCCCCCAAAGCTTTCTGGGTAAATTTTCAGTGATATTTTATGCACACACAGGCAAATAATATAGATTTCCTAAAATTTTAAAAATCACATTAAACTAAGCCTTAACCTAAGGAGTCAGGAAAGGCCTCTGAGAAAGGAATTGGGCCTCAGGTCGCTTTCCAACCAACTCCAATAAGCAGGGGCAGGACTCAGGTGGGGCGAGTGAGACGGTTGCTTCAGGCACAAAGATAAGGGGGCACCAAAAAACTCAGCAATCAAAATAAATAATATTTAAAAAATCAAATTAATTCAAGGAATCCATGAAAAACAAAACAAAATTTTACATAAGAACTGAACCATTAAAAGGAATAGGCAGACCCAGTTATATGGGGCTGAAATTTATAGAATTGTGGGGGGTAAGAATCTGCTTTAAGAAAAAGATTATAAAATTTCAAGTCAAAAATAGGTAAGAAAACAAATATTTATTTAGAATGAGAAAATAAATAACAATAAAATATAAATTTTTAAAACCTCACCTATACCAAAAGTCACAAATACAGAAAACATAATTTTTGAATAACTGCCTGAAGTGCTTCTATAATACATTTTCCCTATATTTTTGTACAAAACTTTCAGAAAACCCTTATCAAATGTCTTTCATATATCAGCTGTAGAAGATGTATTATAGTTTGTGCCTACAAACACAAGAATCTGATAAAAATTGTATTTCACATGATTACCATTTTAAAAAAAGTTCCATTCACATGAGCCTCTCCAGAGCATCTCGCAGCACAGCAGTTGACTTCTTCAGAGTGTCAGTAGGAGACCCGATCACAGAAGTAACACCCTTTCCTTATGCAGTTGGAGGGCCTGGCCAACATAGGGAATCACACAGAACATTGGTGGGGACCAGAATAGGCCACCCTAGAATATGCCACTTTGGCATGAGGATTATTTTGAGCTGAAGAAAATTAAGAAACTGCAGACAGAGGAAAAGCTCCCTGCCATCCTCCTATCTGAACACACAACATAAAATTCCATTGGTAAAGGCTTCTGTTCTCCGTACCAGAAGGAGCACACCTAACTATTTGACTCCTAATCACTAGAGAGGACTCTAGGCTCTTCCCAGCTCAGAGATAGCACTGAAGGGAACTACATGACAAAACTTGCTAAAACAACCCTTGTCTTCCATTAGTTTCCTCTATATATTCACCTCCCCCAAGGATAAACCCCTTTTCCTTTGTCTTGTTACCTGTCTGTCTTATTCTTCTTTGTAAGGATAATATAAAAACTCAAATTTCAATTATCCTTTTGAGTTACTCATCACTGAGTTTCTCCTGTGTGAATGCCATGCTGCATGTGGAAATAAATAAACTCTTTTCTCCTGTTTTCTGTCTTTTGACAGCTCAATTTTTAGGGCCCCAGCTGCAGAAACTATGAGAGTAGAAGAAAAGGTTTTTTCTTTTCCTGCCGCATGACTACCAGGAGGGGAGATCCCTGGGATCCACCTGGGAGCTGCCTGTCAGGGTGCCACGGGAGGCCGCCGTGCGCTGCTGTGGATGTGGCCTGCACCTTTCTGTCCTGCGTCTGGCTAAGTGGGTAGAAGGGGCCACAGGAACATCTTGGAAGCCATGCAAAGCATATTTAATTATTCTTTGGAAGCTTCAAAAATTTTAGGTAGATGGATCACCTATGACGGTGTGTAGGTGGCAACTTAATTCTGTGAGGTACTAAAAACAGCTGACCTGTGCTCACTTCAGTAGCACGTATACTAAAATTGGAATGATACGGGGAAGATTAGCATGACCCTGTACAAGGATGACACATAAGTTCGTAAAGCATTCCATGTTTAAAAGCAAACAGACGAACAAAACCCCCTAGCTGACCTTGTTTTAAAAGGGGAAGGTCATTTGGAACTTGACTTGTCAGGGACAGATACAAATTGTAATACCTTCTGATCCCAGCTGCTGAAATAAAATTTGAATCCAACTGTTGTTTAATAAACTAGTGAATTTTTCTCATGGCTAAAAGGTCTCTGTGTGTGTGTTTATGTATATTATAAACTTGAGATTATTTTCTACCTACAGATGGTATTGTTAAAATTAATTTAATAAATTAAAATTAATTGATGCAAAGGCAAGCCCTTATAAAGATTGAGTATTCTAAAAATTCTCAGAAATTAGAAACTAACTCAAAACTTTTTCATGATCACATGGTCTCAAATTAATCCTTGCTAAATAAAACTAGTTTAAATTTATTGGTTTAAGTCAAACAAACATATCTTTATTTTACCTGGGTTTACAAAAAACAAAATTAATTGCTGAACATAAGTTTACCTACTTTTGACTTCTTATTAGAAAGAAAGTAAAGGATAAATTTAGATCTGTTCATGAAATGTTCTATTCTTTGTTGAGGATGGATATGTTTCTAAATTTATGAAATGTATTTGATAATAAAAACACCCATTTCTAGAGGTTATAAAAATGTCTTTATATATCTGCCAAGCTAAAGACTTCTAACAGCTTACTTCTTAATTTTCATTAGAAATTGAGGTTTTAAGGGTTAAAAATCTCTCTCTCTCTCTCTCTCTCTCTCTCTCCCTCTCTCTCTCTCACTTTTCAGCCCTTCTGGAACACCTCAAAAGATTTGTTTTCATGTTAAATTGCATGGGAAGCATTATAAAATAAGCAATTAAAAAACTCCTAATATATATTGTTGGGATAAACAGTGGTTGTAAATTAAATGAGTGGCCAGAACTATGGGAAACCCAGGACAGCCACGTGGTTCTTCAGGGCTCCCTGGAAAACCCCATTTTCCAGTTTTTTCATTCCTTCATGCAGCACAATGCTTTTAGTGCTGTTGAAGCTGGGCTTAAAATAGATGAAGGAGCTTAGGAAATGATGTTCCTGAAAGGAGACATCTTACACTATTGTCAAGGTTTGATAAAGTCACTTCAAGAAAATGCCAAATTGGTAACGGCTTCCTTTCACAGTGAACTCCCAGTAGCAAATACTTAGAGGTCATTGACTGCCACCAACATATTCTGTTTATTGAAAAGGGCATAAAATAAAAAATTCTCCAACCCCATTGAAAGGGACCTTATCAGGTGCCTAACCATGAATGGACATCTACTCTTGCCTCTGACACTCACCTCCACCTAGAGTGGACACCAAAGACTCCTCAAGGATGAGAAGCCACCGACACCAGAGGTAAACAGCTACCCCAAGACATCTGTATACCCCCCCGGATTGATACTGAATTCAGAAACCATTTGTTTGATTTTCTTTACCTATCGGGTATTGATATTAATCATAAGTTATACTTGTTCTTTGGGTTTTTCTTTATAGTCTAGCTGCTTATGATTACTGAACACGTGTAAGATATCTTTAATACTCCTTTTATGGCTTACCTAAATATTATACCAGATGCAAAATATAGAAAAATAAGACAGATGGCAAAACTCGGATCATGATAGTTCACAGGATAGAAATGATCTGAACGCTCATTTGCGACAAAGGCCGTAAGCCCTGACTGCCTCCCATTTACTTGCTCTTCCCTCTTGGGAAAATTCAACCTCAACTCACATACCATAGTTACAGTATTGCCCCACCCCCAGTGATTCACTATTTCAACAAGACAAAGTTGATACTGAGAATTCTTAGGGATGAGCCTTCCTGCTGCTGTGAAACCATACTACCTGACTGAGAGGTTGATCACTAATGCATTCTTCAGATTGACTTTATAACCAAAAGGGAGAACTGCAGGGAGAAAAGGCGGTGCTGTAATAAATCATAAACACCTGACTGGGAGGGTCATGGTGGGTAGTCACACTTCAGGCCCATTATCTTTGAATTCAGCAAGCCCTGCGCATTGATCTTGTTCCCCTAGATTAAAACACCTTTGAAATGCTGAAGTAATCCACTTCTTCAGAGGGAGGTACAACCACTCTCAAGAAAGCACATAGTCTTGTTAACTAACCTTGCTTTCTTCCACCTTCATGTAATCTTTCTTATATTCCATCCTTAATTCCAAATGCAGAAAAAGCTGCAAAACTGTCATTCCCCAGAGCACCTGAGGTCTTGCTTCCCAGCGTGTTTTCAGTTTGGCTCAAGTAAACTCATAAAAATTCTCTACAGGTTTGGACCTTTCTTACATTAACAATGGTGATGATGGTGATGGTGATCATAACAGTGATGATAGTGATGTGGTTTTGCTGTGGAGTTCTTTGCTCAAACAAAATGTTGGGGAATTCCAATGTGTCAGATAAAAATGCTATATTTGGAGCAGAGGGCCTGGGGCCCTGCTGTCACAGCTCACATCTGCCAAAGGGGCTCCGAGGAGAGCTTTGCAAAAAATGACTAACTAGAGGAGAGGGGGATGGAAAAGTGGCTGCAGTCAGATTATCTCAAGGTAAGGAGTTTGCACTGTAGTTGGTAAATGTACATAGTTGGTGTCAAAACAGCGACTGGGTAAAATTCCTCCATCGGGGCTACGCCAGTGGCCTGGACGAGGCTGATGTGAGACGAGGGTCAGTGCTATGAGAAAGGACAGGATGTACTCCACAGCCACTACAGTGAAAGGAAGAATGGGCACAGAACTAAGGCCAAGCAGCCAAAGGAAGCCAATGAGAAAGAAGAGTCAAGTGTTGTAATGAATCCCATTTTTTTAAAAAGATTTTATTTATTTATTTTTAGAGACAGGGGAAAGGAGGGAGAAAGAGAAAGAGAGGGTGAGAAACACCAGTTGGTTGCATTTCATGCATGCCCCAACTGGGGACCAAACCTGCCACCCAGACATGTGCTCTGACCTGGAATGGCACCCATGACCTTTGACTCTGCAGCAAGATGCTTCAACCAACTGAGCCACATCAGTCAGGGCATGAATCCCACTTTTTAGATGTGGAATCCTACAACTGCTTTTTTAGATTTTTGAGATTATGATAAAATATATATAACATAAGGTTTATGTACAATTGCTTTTTAAATTTTACCATTTCATAAAATTGAAAAATATTTGCATAAAATAAAGAACTCAAACAGTACAAAAAAACTACAATGAAAAGTAAGTTTCCCTCCCACCTCATACCCCTAGTCACTTAGTTCCACTGCCCAGATCCTTGTTTACAGTATATTTCCAGAAATGTCATATATCAACAAGCAGATGTTTTATATATATTAATTTTTTTCACATATTCTGTCCTTTGTTTAATTATTTGGTTTTTTGTTTCCCACTGAACAAACCAACCATGTTTGTTCTTTTGGAGGAAGTTGATGAAGAGAAAACTCAGAATGGAAGTTTCAGAGTAACTCCCATGTGACTAGAGGAAAAGCAGGCAGGGAAGAAATAGGCTTTGGAGTTAGACCTTGAGCCAGATGCTGGCTCTGCCACCTTAGGCACATTCTTTGGCCTAAACCACAAGGTTGAATATTCTTTTCATTTCACACAATGTCAATGGTTGTCAGTGGGGAGGGGTCAAATCACCAAAAAACAGCGGTGTTTGGAAACCCGGGGTATGGGTTTTTGGGTTGTCAAAATTCCTGGGGCTGCTAGCAAAATTTTGAAGATACAGTTCATAGATGTCAAAGATCTTAGAATGTTTGTAGCAGACAGTCACAACAAAAAGCTATTCTGTCCACATGCCAATGGCATTCACATTGAGAAACATCAACTCAGCAGCTCCAGCACACAGTCACATCAAGGCCTTCCATTTCCCATGCTCCATACTTGCCTCCACTGTGATAGCAGCAAAGTGGCTGCAAGTGTTGTGGATGCTACGTCTGTGTCAGAGGAGATAATCCAGACCAGATTTTCTCTGACTTTCTCTCTTGGGACAAAGAAAATTCGCCTCAGGAGCTTCCTCTCAGACTTCCTGCCCACAAATTACTGACTAGGCCACTGGTCATTCCTGAACCAGTCTTGGGCAAGAAGGGACACTCCTCTTAGATCACATGCTAGTCTGGAGGAAAGAGGGCTGGGCTTCCCTGAGACAGGAGCTATCTGGCGGTCTGAGAGGTGGGACACCTGTAAGAAAAGAAGGAAGAATGCTGGCGATTGTGTCCCAGGCTGCCATGAGGACCCTACAAGCAGACGAAGTTTCTGCCAGATAGTGAGACAGAAAAACATGCAGGTTCCCTTCCTTCTGCCCTTCAGAGAAAGATGGCCATTTTCCTAACCTTTTAGTTCCATCTCACAGAGAAATAAAAAGTGGAAACTTCTGTGGATAAGAGGATTGGAAAGGCAAGTGAAGGGCCTCCCTCCCAGAAGCTGACAGAGGTTCTTTTAGCAAATGCAGAAGTAGTAGGTTGTTATCAGTCTTGCACACCTAAAATTTATTCCTGTTCCCTGATTAGAATTGTGCCATATATATCAAGAACTTAAGTTTTTACATATTTGTTTATATTTGTTATCATGGTTGATATTTACAGTTAATGATAATCAAGTCAGAAAAATCACTAAATGTAAGTGCAATGACAAAAGTGGCATAAAATCTGTGAGAATAAAAAGTTAATATACTAAAGCTTGAAATGTTAATAGTTAAGAAGTCAACTAGATTCTACTCCTCCCTCCCTTTCTCTCTTCCTTCCTCCTCCCTTCCTTTCTCTTCTTTCCTTTTCACCAGACTCTGCCATTGAGAGCCATAATTTCAAGGGCAGCGGGCAAAGAACCTAGAACCAAAGGACCCTGAGGAAGTGGGGGGGCGTTGTTCCGGTAATAGCATCTGGGGCTGCCCCTCCAACGGGTCCATTATTCGGTAACAATATTTCAGTTGTGTTGATAAATGTGGCCAAAAATGCTATAGAATTTGATCCACTCAAGTTATAAAGCATTTTTCTTGGAAGTTTCCATTGCTGCA